GCTGATGTCTCTCAATTGCCCCAGATTGTCTTTGAGGGGAAAGGGAGAGTCTAAGTGTTCAGTTCCGTGTGTGTGTGTTTGTGTGTGTGTGAGATACATGCGCACATGCACTTTATATTCCTGTGTTGGAGTCAACAGAACCCACCTAGTTTGATTTAGCAGCAAAAACTCTCCGCAAGATTTTAGAATCTGGCACCCTATTAACCTATTATACTTTCTTACTCCTGACCCCCACACAGGTTGGGGGTTCCTCTGTCAGAGCCCCAAGGTTCCTCAAAGTTCAACTCTCTGGTTTCTTGCCCCAACTCATTGTGGCTATGAAATTTTCATGTCAAAAGGACGGAATGGAGATCCCTTGAGAGCCAATCAATGCCATGTCCAAAACAGTTGCCATGTCATGCAGCACAAGAATCTCCCTTCCACTGTGGGCCGCATACATGTACCCTGTACCATTTCCTGCCACCGCCGAGAAACCCATATTTGATTTAGTGGTCTTGATTTCCTGCATGACAGGTGCAGGTATTTACTAGATTACAATTTAGATAACACCATGCAGCTTTTATCTTTTAATGAAAAATATTAATTTCTGCATATGAAATGTTCTTTTTTTCAAAGCTGATGCCAAAGGACAAAAGAAATATGCAGTTAATGTTTCATCTTAATCTTTTTTGTTCATAAAAAGCTCTGTCAATTGCAGTAAATCCCAAAGAGAATACATTTGAAATAAATAAATGGAAACATAAATTATTTTAGTATTGAAACATAGCTTCCTTTTAGTTAGCACAAATGCTGAAGGATTAAAGGAAAAATATTCAATCAGTATTTTTGTTTCAGCACCCTCTCATTTTAATTACCATTTTTAATTTAACTGTACACACCCTAGTGAATCAAGTTCATCCCTAGTGTAAGGAGGCACAACTCCCTTGAAATCAGTGGAGTTGTGGTAAATTAAATCTGGGATAAATATGGCCCAGTGCGATGGAATATCTTCACTGCGTTAGGGCAAGAAACTACATCAGTATGCATGTGGAAATCAGTATTTGGACCTTACAGTAGGTAGCCTTTAAATGTACTAAAGCATCTGTACTATAACCGATTTAAAGCTAATATATATACTTGCACATCTTGTTTGGTGACTAGAATTATTGACATATTTCATGGTTCTGCTTCTGATAAAGGTAAAAAACTATGAATGAAACACCATGGTTGAGATTTTAAAAACCCAGGAGTGTGGAAGTTCAGTTATGGGTTTCCTGCAAGAGAAAGTTGTTTTTTATTCTGTAATGCTCTATAGGGGAGAAAAGGAGTTGCTTCTGTTGCCCGTGCTTTCAGCCTTTAATGCACATAAGATGCCCTTGTATTTAAAAAATGCTCCTGGGTGTTGTACAACTGTTTTCAGTACTGGTCCAAGTTTATCTTCTCAGGGTAAGCCTGCTTCCTCTGCCTGCTGTGCTGTTGTCTATGCTAGTGTAACACCAATTTGGATGGCGAAACACATGAAGCCACACCTTGTGGTCCTCCCCAGTGCAGTCCAACAATGCTGCTTCCCACGCTGCACTTTAAAGGTCATTCTGTTAGTGAACTGGATCAGCATCTGCAAGAGGTATCTGCTTTTGTTTAGCCTTGTTGATGGAGACAGATAACTACAGCTCAGTTACCTGTTCTTATTGGAATGTTTTTTATTTGTACCATGATAGGACGGTCAGCAGAGCCAGTCTAACTACCCAAAGTTTGAGTAGGTTTATGCAGAATATTTTCACCCGTTGAGAGCATGCTCTCTGGGCTGACTGTGATCCCATGCCTCCAATGCTTTTAGTCTTTCTTTGGTAATGTGCACTCTGGGTGAATCTTGAAGTCTTTAGATAACGGCAGTGAGAAGTGCATTTGTTAAGAAAGGGGAACTTTGAATTTCATTCCATGGTATCTAGCAGGGTGGATTTGATTTAAATCAAATTGATTTAAATCATGATTTAAATCACTAGTCAGGAAGACTTGATTTAATCATAGTTTTCTACATAAAAGTGCATTCTTCTTGGTTGTTATAACCTTAATACATATTCTTCACAACTCAGAGGTAGATGTAGGTTTCATTTTTAGAAGGTACAGTACACACTATACATTTTTAAACAGTGATTTATTTTGTTTAAGATTAGTTTTTCAGCTATATCAGAAAATGAATGATTGTTTGGTTATTTCATTTACCAAAGGTAATTGAAGCAGATATTCATGAAGTCATCAGGAGGTGGACTATCTCCAATTCAACAGGTTAATCATTAATATTTGGAGGATTTTCTTGCCATGCTGTATTAGGAGGAGAACATCACAGACAGACACTTAAATTGTTTTATTTAACTAAAACAACAATGTTAAGTATTCTGGATTTTTTTCTTCAACAGCAAATGTACAATATTTAACAAAACAAGCATATGTCCCTCGCTTCTCACATTTATCTCCAGACTACTTCTCCTTGTCCAGATCTATTCTGCCCCCCAACAATCTTCTATTCATTGAACTTTTTGAAACTTTGCACTTTTAGAGAGAGATAAAGATTGACTCTCCGTACACAAATTTGCAGAAGGACAATAGAGTTGAGGTCTGTTATTTCTCACCTCTATATATTATTTATTTATTTAAATTTTTTTTGCTGTTGACAAGCATGTTACCTCTGTAGACACAAATCCACAGTTTGAGAACTGCAAAACTAAGCACCTCTGATAGTATCTTCTAGACTGAGCTCTGAGTCCCATTGGGTAGATAGAAACATTAACCTGGTAATCTATACAGAATCTCCTGGAATCCCATAAAATTGGGTACCTAATCCATGAACTATTGGAACTAATTTACAAAACTGTTCTTAAACATTACATG